ATTAATTTGAAATCCTCTTTGCAATTTAATATTCGTTTTTTTTTTTTTTTTTTTTTTTTTTTTATCACGTTTGACAACATCAACTCGACGCGAAAATTGATTCGACGTTGTGTGTGACGATCGCCGAGCACTTTCGATACATCATGCGAAAGATGGAGGATCTATCAATCTCGGATAGCCATCGAACCCTAGTTTTTGCCGCGCGAGCCGTTATCGCTGATTTCTTTGGGTCATCAAAGCATCGTTGCCGAGCGATGCAAACAGAGATGTATCGCGCGCTTTATCATTTTCGCTTTGCAATTTATCTCGCAAGGCAATCATGGGAGGATGTTGTTTTTTTTTTTTTTTACGACGTGAGATCGTGAACGAAAATTTACTTCACTTCTATCAAACACGCCTCTTTTTCTTGAATTAATATTATTTCGTAGGATACACGCGTGTTATATCCGCAAGAGAGATTACATTAGGAATAAACAGTAGGTTATAGCGCGTAGAAATAGTGTGTATCGTCGTATTACAACGAGCGCTTTTCGGGGGGGAAAAGCGAACGGAGGAGCTTTCCGGAATTGCGATGCGGATTGTGTTTTCGCGCGTGAAAAGCGCGCGCTCTCGATGAAGGGATCTCGGGAATATCTCGTGTATAAATATCGCTGCGGCCTTCGGCACGCGGGTTTCCCGCGGGAAAACGTATCCAAAACAACAACAAGATCGCCTTGCGAAAAACTTTGGCGGGAGTTTTCTAATGCGCGAGTTCGCAGATTTCTTCTTTTCCACCATTTTGTTGCCGCCCGGCGGCGGCACTCGCGAAATTAACAAGTTTCGCGAGTCAGTTTTCACTTGAGGGAAGGAGGAGGGCCGGCTTTTCCGCGAGGCGAGGAGAAATCGAGGTGTGGCCGAGGTATCGGTGCGAAAACTCGCGCCGGTCCATTTGCGGGGATGCTCTTCGGTGAATTTATCCCGCAAATAATGGACTACTCGTGTAGAGAGTATAGGTGTAATCCGCGCAGTCTTAATAGAATCGTATGACAAGGTCGTGTGTATCGACGTCACGTTTTAAAGTAAACAAAATTAATAACATTTGAAAGAAGTAATTGAAAAAAATATATATACATATATTTTACATTTTAATAAGCTCTTTGAGAAAAATTCGACTCTCTTGAAGTCCTAGATGACAACAAATCGCAAACTTGCACAAAGTAATTCCAAAATCTGTATTACCAAATCACATAGAACGGTGTACGTGTAAGTGAGAGATCATTTAAACGTCTTTCTTAACTGTTAGAGTGTAATGCGAGAACGACAGAGAATTAACGTTAGAGAATGGTCTCTTTGCGGAATAAAAAGCACTTTTCGAACGCATTAATCTTTCTTCCGGCAAATCGAAGTGATTACGATTATATCGAAATTCTTCTCAGAGTTTACGGCACGTGGGAGAGACGGTATGAATAAAAGATAAAAATAGAACCGATGACTTTTTGAATATTTCATGACACGTAAGAATTTCAGCTATTCCGGCGGTTAACACAGCCATCCCCCGCGTAGTCGAAGGCAAAGCAAAGGAATCGCGGCACCACACCAAAATTCGTCAATCATGTTTTTTTTTTGTTTTTTTTCGTCAAGCGAATCCAGGAAAGAAGAGAATCGAGAGACGACTAACGTACAGCCGTGCACATCAATTCGATCGATTGATTTTATTATTTACGTGCTTGTACGTCGTGTCTGTGTATGTGATTGTTATACTCGGTAATCAGTTTTAAACGCGTTAAATAAATCGGAAAAAGAATCACTGTTTATCCGGTGGAGTCGTAATTTTGAGGCAGCGACAGACGAAGAAAAATATGTAATCTTTATGTACGTATGCGGAGAGAATCATATACAGATACATGACGCTTACATGCGCCGGTCCATCCATGCATACGCACATAGTGATATGTGTATATAGTAGGTAGGATTAATAAATTAATTAATTAATTGTATTTTTTGTATCGCAAAAAACATCTCGGTGAGAGAGCGAAGGAAAATATACCTCGCTAATAATATATTTAATTCACCGCAACAGATTCGATCGCAACGGTTTTGAATCGTGTTTCAAGACACGCCACGCTGCTGTTCCGTCTTTCTGTTTCTGAGGATTTAGAATCATCTGCTACGGAAAAGAAAGATTTGTTAGAATAGCAAGAAATTAGTTACCATATGGCCAGCAAGAAAAATTTTTCAAGCCTATTGAGATTTTTGCCAGCAAAACGTTTCGAAACAAAAATTCGGTAGATCCAACGAATTGTTCTTGCTGGCCATATAATTGCAAAATTTTTTTTCCGTGTAGGCGATCGATAGGCGTTGCATAAGTTCAATCGCTCTGAAAGTGTCTGTTGACCAACTTGGTTTCGCGCTCTGAAAATTTCCAGCCTGGGCGAAGCAAAAATTCCATTTCGGTACGAATTACAAATTTCGAGTTTTTTTTTTTTTTTTACTAGGTTTACAATTCTCTATACATTTCGGATTCTTGCACCAAACCTATTCCTATTTCACACCCTTCCTCTCGTCTTTCATCCCCCTCCTTCATCATTATAGTGAAAAAGATAGCACCCTCTCTGTATCCCCCCATCCGAGACAATTACCGATTTCACATACTTGCGATTAAGTAAAGAAAAACGTTTATGAAAAAAAACAGAGAGTAAGGAGTATATTACGCAAAATGTAATGTCGTTTAATTACTTAAACTATTGCAGATAGAAGTCGGAAGTATATGATCGATTTATTAAACTACGATTGGTCTTACGGTAATACTTATTATAATATTTGGTAAACATACAATAACGATGATAATTAGTAATCATAACAATACCTATTTGTGATGTACTTACGATGACTTGCACTGAGTTCGGGTCACGTGAAAATTGATTGATGATGATGATGAATTCAAATAAAAGAAATATAATTGAAACTGAAAACGATGCACAGACTGTTTTATTGATTCTTTACAAGTTCACTTGATGACCAAAAATAATTAAAAAAAAAAAGTTTGTGTGCTTTGTATGTCTTATCTTAGTCTACTCGTATATTAATTT